TATGACGCACAGTACTGGGCATATGCTTTAGGAATTTCAGATGTTCAGATTCCTATCTACCATGCAGTACCATCAGGGAGGAATCTGATCTGTTCAAAATTCTATTTGCAGCATGACAACAACACCAAACATTCAGCTCGAGTCATAAAAAATTATCTTCAGCCACAATATGAACCAGGACTCCTGCAACAGATGGTCTGGCCCCAACAGTGTCCTGATCTCAACATCATGGAGTCAGTCTGCGATAATATGACAAATAAAAGACACTAAATCCTCAGAAGAACTAAGGTTCTCCTCCAAAACACCAAATCCAAATACTGATTTGACTTTGATTTTTTTTTAATGTTTACTGCACTATGTCTTGCATTAAGTAGTAAACAGGCAGCTGTTCGTGGCAACTTTTTTGGAGAGACGCCACATTTATTTTTTTGCAGTTTCGTATGCACTAACTGCTTCAATCTGGAGGTGTTATGAGAACCAGTGCTTTGGTACCAAATCGATACCACAATTTTGAAAACATGGCAGTATTTATTTCCCATGGTGCTGAAGGAACCAGCGCTATCAGTACCACAGCTGACATACAGGTAGACTTCTAAAGATTGGGATTTCTCTGGAATGGCCAGTAAATGCAAGTGAAGCAACACGTTCCCGGAGACTTGAGGGGGAAACACTTCAAAAATGATATAAGGAGATAGTGATAGTTAGTGCTTCAGTAAATAATCAAGGACCAGTTATCGATGACCAAAAATCAAAATGCATGTTCACATCCTCCAATGTCACCGTTGCTGTTTGTAACATTTCCATTATTTTTCTATATATCATTCAGCTAACCACTGCTGTAGAAATGCTGCCAAAAGACCCAGGCAAAGTTTCGAACCCAGGATTTTTGCGCCGTGAGGTGACAGTGCTAACTACTGCATCAGGTTATCCTCTGAAGTTTCTTTACTGCATTTATTTTACCCTGTACCTTTAAAAGTTTTTTTCAGGGCCTGCTGCCAAATAGCATGCCCACACCATGATACTGCCACCCCCATGCTTCACAATGGGGATAGTGCGTTTGTGATGTGCAGTATTTGGTGTCCGCCAAACAAAGTGTCTCGTCTGATAACCAAAAAGCTCATTCTTCCTTCTTTCAGTGGATGTCAGAGTCTCCCACGTACCTTCTGGTGAACACTAGTCTAGATTTAATATGAGCTTTTTTTCTTTTTTTTTGAACAGTGGCTTTCTCTTTTCCATTCCTCCATTTGAGCGTTGACGAGGTAAGAACAGGCAACAGTTGTCGTATGCAGTCTCTCCCTTTTCAACTGCTGAAGCTTGTAAATCCTTCACAAGAGTCATAGGTGTCTTGGTGACCTTCCTCATTAGTGTCTTTCTTGCACAGTCACTCAGTTTTTTGAGTACAGCCAGCTCTAGGCAGATTTACACGTGACATATCCTTTCCATTTCTTAATGATGGATTTAACTTTACTCCAAGGGATATTCAGTGACTTGGAAATCTTGACGACTATTCCCCTGACTTGTGCTTTTCAAAAAACTTTTTCACAGAGTTTTTTTTTTGTCTCCATGGTGTAGCTATAACAGTAGTACTGATTCATCAGTGACTGGGACTTCCAGATACAGGTGTCTTTGTATAACAATCACTCAAGGCACATTCGTTATACTCAGATGATCTCCATTTAACTAATTGTGTAACTTCTAGCACCAACTGGCTGCACCTGTGTTGAATTAGGTGAGTCATTGAAAACAGGGTGAATATGTATGCACTCACTTGTTTTACATTTTAGACTTTCAATTAACTTACATTACTCATTCGGACATGAGAAGAGCATTTTTTTTGCAAATTCTTGTCCAAAGAACCAAATTAAATTGACCATGATTTAATATTGAAGCACTGTTTTACATATTGCACATAAAAAAAAGAAACTGGACAAAACTTTTGCTGTGGATGCAATGTGAATAGTACGCAGATAGATTCAGCGCAGATGTCGACTTAAACTACATTTCTACTTTATCACAACTTGATCAGTTTTGTAGTTTTGGGAAATTTCTATCAGTTATAATACTGCGCCAAGCAAAAATAATACTGACAGCTAGAAACATGATGAAAAACCCAACAGCAAAGTCAACCCAACTTACTTTTAAGGGTTGTGAAGGAAAGATGAAAAAAAAATCCCTGACTTACTGCAAATACACATAGTTCACACACACAAACATTTCGTATGAAGTCAAAGAAGAAAGCAACACTTTGAAGGCTGTGAGAGCAAAAGCAGTCTTGGCAAAAAGATTTCACTTTCATGTCAAAGGTGAAAGTTAAAAAAGCAAAAGGATGGAGGAGGGGGGAGAGATCAGTGGTGTTTAGTGGGTAAATTTGGCAGGATGAAAATGAATATTTGATTTTTCTGCTCTTCCTGAGAACCGTGATAAATATTCAAGAGTGGGCAAAGCCTGGAGAGCTCCCCCTTCACGAGATGAGACACCGAGCATGCGGCGGTGGGCCAAGTCGAGCGTGAAGCCACATGCATGCAAATGGCTCCACATGTACACATGCAAACACACTGAGGCTAAAACTAAAGGACTGCACACGCATGTAAGGACTTGATTTAACAAAAAGAAGCACATTCCTCATTTTTCTCTCTCCCTCTCTCTCTCTCTCACACACACATATTTGGAGACGTGAAAGCAAAAACAGTCTCCAAATTGGTGATTTCCGCCTTATTTCCGCTCAAATAAACATAACTGTGCAACTGTGTACACGCTGACAATAACTCATGTATGAATGCACACTCAAATAAATGCCTACACACAAACACACACACACAAATCCCAAAAGCTCCAAAAGGTGGCACATGTCAGGACTGAGAGAAAGCTCAGTTTATTTCCACCCCCATATGAAAACAAACCATCCACATCACTTCATTTGTGCTACTGGAACGATTAAACCGAGCATTAGGGAGATGAGAGAGGGTGATGTTTTTGAAAGTTATTTTACAGGCATACATATTTACACTCTATATATGTTTTTTTTTGGCTTCACTTATCTATTATTTGTGCCTTCATTTTATAATTCTATTCCCGAATGTTTGTCTATGAACTTCGGCATCCCCGGGAGAGCCACTTACCGCAGCGGCCTCAGGGTCCTCAGCAACCTCAGCACTCTGAGCATGCCCAGGATTTTGGTTCCCGAGTTGGAGATGAGAGACACCAGGATGTCGATGACGGAAATCGTGACCAACATCCCGTCAAGAATGTTCCAGCTGCTCCTCAGGTAGGCCTTGTCACCAAAACACCAGCCCAGAGCCACAATCTGGACAGAAAAGGGGGACAAAGGATGAATCAACATTTACGCACATCGACTCATACCGACAGCACCTTTAGCGCAGAAGAGAAGTGTTTTGTTTATTGGTGCTACAGCAGTAGGCACAAAATCCCTGCCTTAGAAGGAAGTTTCAAGCCCCGAGATCTATATCTGCAACCTGATGGAAGCAGTGTGAAGAATGCGATGAGGAGGTGCCTGGGGTCCTGTGCAGCTGTACGTGCTCTGCATGCGATGGCTCTGCTGCTGAGACGGGAGAGGTTCAGGGTGTGAAGGCCAATAATTTTAAAAGCACCGAGCGGTAAGAGTTCGAGGCGGTTAACATGCTGAGGAAACACGGGGAACAATAGGGGTGAATGGGTTGAAGTGTACTTTTGTAGAGCAGCAGCAGAAGGTGGTGGTGGTGGTGGTGGTGGGGGGAGGGCAGCAGAAAGTGCTTTGAGTTTGTGGATGGCAGAGAGAGTTTGTTGGCAGTGTTTCTGGATGTCAGCGATGTGTTGATCAAAGCTGATAACATAAAGGGCAGACTGCTGCCGCAACAGTTCGCTTTTGGATGTTATTTAAAAATCATTACCCGCTCTAAATGTAAGTGGGACAAAATGATACAAGAATCGGTAATTCGATATCTGTCCTGGTCTGTGCGGCTGTTTGTTATTAGGCCATTTTTGTATTTATTAGCCGACGATGCTTGATGTCCCATATGCCCGGCTTATTGACTTTGTAGAGTGATTGTTTACTTGGCAGCGAAGATCAGAAAAACTGCAAGCTTTCCAAACCCTTGTTTCTAGTTCTATAGGTTCTGCTCATCATCTATTCTGTCCGTGAAGCAATTTGCATTTTACAAAATAATAGAGGTGGGCTGACATAGTTTTTTTTGTTAGTTTTTTTTTTTAGCTCAATCTTATTAAATTAAGTGAAAACAACTATTTTTGCTTTTCCTTAACAAATGAAGCGATGAGATTGTTTAAATTAGCTGATGTTAATCAGTTCATAACAGTGTCTACTGCATATGTATAATGCATATGTAAAATCATCAAACAGCTTGATCAATTTATGATCAGACAGGTCATTTTATACTACATGATATTTACAGGCTGCAAGGTGGAGCGGTGGTTAGCATCGTTGCCTCGCAGCAAGAGGTTCGCCGGTTCGCATCCCGGTTAGGACACCCGAGATCTTTCTGCGTGGAGTTTGCATGTTCTCCCCGTGCAGTGTGGGGTCTCTCCTGGTTCTCCAGCTTCCTCCCACACAGTCCAAAAACATGTTGAGGTTAATTGGTGATTCTAAATTGTCCGTAGGTGTGAATGTGAGTGTGCTTGGTTGTCTGTCTCTAAGTGTAGCCCTGTGATAGACTGGTGACCTGTCCAGGGTGTCCCCTGCCTTCACCCTAAGTCATGATAGGACACGTTTTACACTTGCATTTGCCTTTATTAGCCGGCTGACCATATTGACTTCAAATGTGGTTAGGCTTACGGTTAGATGATTGTCACTTTGTCCAGAGCACATTTCTACCACAACCCTGACGTCTGTCACCCCCAACACGCGTGAAAGTGCGAGGGCCCGTCCAACGCAGCTTGCAGCTTTAGTTTTTTTATTATTTGTACTTATTTCCACGAGTATAAAAGCAGCCTTTTACAGCTGTAGTTGTCACAATCAAGTATTTGTTAAGCAGTGAAGTTAAATTGGTCTTAAATTAGGAATTGGGTCCTTTGAAAATGTGATATGATTAAAAGAAACACACAAATGTATGTTTACTTGTTGGACTTTTCTCTAATCTTTGCTTTGTTGTGGACAGCTAAAGCATAATTCAAAGTCTACTGAGTTATTTTTTTAAATTTAAATTAAACTACCTCATAAGTTCAGATGATAAAGTACTCTTTAATGAAACTGCTAGCAACTCAGACATCTGAAATGTGACAAAGTGCCCCAATTCCATGCTGCACTTTAGTCAGATACTGAAAAGGTTCTTTTTTTTTTAACAAACCCTTTGGGTTTAATCTTTAACAATGCAAGACATTATTCACCTGGAAAGTTTCCAGTAACTCCAGCTGTCAAATAAATGTACCTGTAGTGGAGTAAGAAGTACAACGTTCTCTCCAAAATGTTGGAATGGAAAGATAAGGTAGCAGAAAATAGAAACACTCAAAGTAATTAGAGAGGAATTACGTAGCGCGCTGGAGTAGACGTTGGCCTCCTTGTTCTGAACTTGTAATGGTGTGGTTTTACATTGAGTCATTGTGACATTCTGTGTATCTAGGTAAAAGACATTACTAGTTATTCCACCTCTACCATTATGTTACTTCATAAATAATGAATTAAAGAGCTTCCAAAGTCCTCAAAGTTTTGATTTGGTGTTTGCGCAACTCTTAAACAGATTACTTGGGCATTAAATTATAGAACCAGAACTATGTGTGTGTGAGTGAGTGCAGGCGCAATGTTTGTGAGCCGCTGAGACCAAAAATAGAGACAGAGGCTTTGAATGAGTGACACCCATGAACTTTCCTCCCCTCTGCCTCCGCTCGCTCCTACCCACGCCTGCATGGACCTCCATTCAAAGCTGGGCCATTTGAATACTGGCGAGACAATCCTCCTCTTAGCATTATGAAACAGCCTTCAGAGCGAGTGTGTGTTCGCTGTCTGTTCGGGCCGCTCGTTCTTTCATTCGTTTTTCCCACTCTGTTTTCCTTTGTGCTTTCGAGCTTACAGTACATGCGGGTATCAGACAGACTTTATTTCCTCTAAAGCTTTGCAGCTGAGCGGTTTTTTGGAGTCTGGTTCGGGTTTCTCCACGTTATGCAGAATTGTTGCATGGCGAGCGAACGTCGAGGTGTCGAGGTGAAGCAATCAGTGGTTTTATGGTTCCTAAAATTCATCCATCCATCCATTATCTATACACCGCTTAATCCTCACGAGGGTCGCGGGGGGGGCTGGAGTCTATCCCAGCTGACTTAGGGTGAAGGCAGGGGACACCCTGGACAGGTCACCAGTCTATCACAGGGCTACACTTAGAGACAGACAACCAAGATCACTCACAGTCACACCTACAGACAATTTAGAATCACCAATTAACCTCAACATGTTTTTGGACTGTGTCAGAGGAAGCCAGAGAACCCGGAGAGAACCCACGCTGGGATGCGAACCGGCAAACTTCTTGCTGCGAGGCAACAGTGCTACCCATCAGAGGTGGAAAGAGTACTGAAAATTTGTACTCAACTACAAGTACTGTTACATTGCTTAAATTGTACTTGATTACAAGTAAAAGTACTGGTGTTAAAAACATATTAAAGTAAAAGTACAAAGTACTCCTCTCAAAAACTACTCAGAGTATTGATTACTTTTTAACCGATGGATGTTTCATTGGATCGTCAATAGCAGGCATTCGATTCGATTCACTTGTATAAAATATCTACATTCAAAGAACATTTCTCAGATGAACAATGTATAGAACAATTACACTAAGGCAATTTGTTTTGTCAACAAATGTGAATAAAAAGCAGGAATTTAGTTTGTCAAAAGAATGACAAAAACGTTTTTGAACCTGCATAGAACAGTTTAAACTTTTCTCAATACACTGCAAACAACAGGCAGGTAAGTGCCTTCAACCTTTAGACATATTAGCATTTCTGTCACTTTCTGAACTTTTTGTTCAGTTTCAGCAGAAGCTGGTTTTCCAAGTTAACAGAGTCTCTCCGGCTTCGTTTGGCTGTGAAGAGTAGACCAGCACAGGCAAGAAGTTGTTCATATGCAGCAGAGGAATTGCATCATGGTCGTCAATATGATCAGTCAGGTCAAGGACATCTGGGTCTGCTTCTTCTTCTGCATCATTTTGTGCCCCAAACACGTGGAAGGCCTTGATGAAGTTGGATCCACGATCAGTTGTGGTTCTTACAACTTTGCCTCTAATCTTGTATTACCAATGGACATCATTAAGAGCACCAGCAAGCATGTCAAATGTGTGAGACCCTCTCAATCTTTTACACGCTAGTGCTGCAGATCTTCTTTCCAGGGACTCTTCCTCTATCCAGTGGCATGTGACCCCAAGGTAACTTTTCTGATGAGCTGACCAACAATCAGTAGTGGTAGCAACAAATTTGACTTTAACCAATGCTGGAACCAAAGTCTTCTTCATGTGATCAGCAGCTTTACAGATAACCCGATTCTTGAAAGTGGGCTGTTCTACCACTGCCAATGGCTGTAGACCCTCACATATGAAATTGATGACAAGCTTGTGGAACACGTTTGTTTGCAGCTCTCAACATCATGTCTGGTAACTTGGCTTGTTGATTTGCTGATAGCTTGTTTGGTGTGGCTGTGGTCATTCGTTGATGAGATGTTGCTGCCACAGTCATGGTACTGCTCAGTCTTCGATGGATGTTTCGTCTGTAGAGATAAATATTATCACACATCAGTTTCAAACATGACTTTATCACATCACTGTGATTAACACGAAAGGAAAACACATTTTTAAAAAATCATTCAACCAGAGTAACAATTTGAGCTAATCTTTGAATGTATAGCATCGTATAGAAGAGTGGTAAATTTGGTTAAACTTAGCAGATATATTGCTGTATTTATTCACAAGTGGAAAGCAATTTTAAGGATCAAAAAATCTATTTCTGTATACATTCTAAATTCTGTAATCGGCATACTACTTCTAAAAAGAGTGTCTACCAGTGTATCAGTATCTAAATATTTTAATTCCCTTTTATCAGTATGAGCCTAAAAAAAAATCCAGTATCAGTCAGGTCCTAAAAAAAAGCAAAAGAGAGCAAAATATATGTATATACCAAAACGAAATTAAGAAAATGGATCAAATTCACAGAAAATGCTGCCAATAGAGCTAACAAATATGAAAAAAAAAATCCACATTATGTTTGGTTAAAAAAAAAAAAAGATATTGGGCAACACATAAGCCAGTACTGATCAAGATCCATGTCACTGTGATAGACCAGTATCAGGCCAATGATATTGATCAACTGATACATCAGTGTAGTGCTGTATGTCTGTGGGACACTCTGGGTGTCGCTGCTGATTTGACAGTATCTATCAACAGAGCTCCAGTCAGAGACATGGGCACTCAGAGTTAAGTTCCAAGCAACTTTTAATATTGAAGTGGCTTACAGGTGTGTATGTGTCCGACAATGTCAACTGAGAGCTGGAAACCTGAAGATGTGTGCCAGGTTTTTTTTTATTTATTTTATTTTTCACCTTATTCAGTGAAATTACTGCAATAATATGACTATTATGAGGCAAGAGTGTAAACAGATGGCACACACATGAATATGTTGGGTTCACTGACTCCACAAGAATCACAGCATTCCAGTCAGCACCAGTTTATCCAACTGTAATACTGTTTAAGGACCCTAATATGCAGGAATGATTAAATAGAATAGGCAAAATTACATAAATACCACACACAAAATAACCAAGTGGGTTTTGCACAAAACTGCAAGGGATTAGAGCAGTGGAGGCTGGTCAATACGGGGCGCAGGGCCCGCCCCACTACTAATGACCTGATAAAAAGTAGTTCTCAAACACAATATTGAGGTTGAATTAATTATAATAAAGTTCATAATAACATTTATATCCTTTTGCTATATGAACAATATTTGTATTATTAACAGATTCAAAACTAGTCTTCACTGTGTAATTGTACACTTCCTGGATGCGGGGTGCTGGCCACAGGAGTGTGTATGTCGCTCAAACAACTTTTCATGATCATGTGACCTCGGCCCGGGCTCTGATTGGCAGCTGCAGACTTTCTCACGGGGCGCAGCTTGGTGCATCCCGGACCAGTCCACTTTTGCTGTAAGCCAATTAATTTTGTCTTTACTTTTTTTTGTCTTCTGTGGTTGGATATAAAAATTGTCCTTTAGCGTTCTTACGACTGTGCTTGAAATACATATCTGACACTGTCACACGGCCTTTCCTGTCAGTCTTTTACAAGATGACACCTGCTGTCGTGACGCCTAAATGCATTGACCATGCTGTCAATGGAGAAAAGGCTGTTCACAGAGGTGAGTGACTTCAACCAAAAAGTAATAGAGAAGTTTGTTGAGCAGTTTTTTTTTTTTTTTTTCAAATAGCTCCAGACTGCATTTGCGACCTTCTTTTTGAGAATGTGTCATGATCATCATGCTCATCATGATGAGCATGATGATCATGAAGCTGCATTAGTGACGCTGTAATCGGCACAGGAAGCTGCTGTGTGGACCACAGTGGTGGAAAGTAGAGCTTTTATAACTTTATTGTACCGCAGTATTTACACTTAAAAATGAGGTCTTCTCATGAAAAACAGAGCGCACCTGCATTCGCTGTTTTTGCGCTCATAGAAAAGATTGTAGAATACATGTAACTGGGTTTAACCTCAGACAAATCTGACATCAGAGCGCCCTAGTTTATGATTTTTAAAGTCATTTCTGGTCACACACCTGTCTGAGCACACCACAGCCACCAAACAGCAGCTACCACAGCCTGCTATGTGGGGCGTTCAGGGAACATCAGTAAACCGCAGTGTCTATCGATAAGACAATGTTCAGCAAGTCCTATGTTTTGCCTTTGACCAGGTGGGAGGTGCAATAAAATTAGAAAGTGGGTCGTACCGGTGTTACCAGTGAAAAAGTTAGTCTGGAGCCCTAAACAGTGTTTTGTTTTGTTTTGTTTTTTGTTTGTTTGTTTTTTTAAATTATATATGTTGTGTGTTTTGAGTTTGGACAGATCCTGTAAATATTGATGAAGGTTTAATAAATGATTTAGTTAGTTCTAGTCAGTCTTAAAAATGTTAAATTAGATTATAATTAGAATATCCTCCAAAGGTAGAAAATTTGCATTCCTGTAAATCGTTGTGCTTGATGTTACTCATATTCTAATTTCTGATTTAAAATAAAAGGTCATTTGCAGACTGCGCCCCCCCACCAAAGATTTTCACCAGCCGCCACTGGATTAGAGTGGATGTGTCTGGAAAGGGGTAACGCCTATCATACGAAAATATTTCCATTCAGGTATCTTGAGCCTAAACTTGAAGCACTATTTACCGACAAGCTAGCACGACATGGTTAACTTTCAATGGACGCAATATGTGTTCTAGCTTCATATAACATAGCGTCCTATGGCCTGCTGAATGTAGGCCTGTGTGTATTAAATGACTAACGATTTAATTTATTGTAATGACGGTGGTTGTCCAAATATTAAGATAAAACATTTCTAAGATTTGTAGCTCAATTATGCATGCACACACACGTTATCTAGCTCCGTCTTATTGTAATATCAGGCTAACAAATGGCAGTGACAATATCTTTGCAGACTTATTTTAGCCAAACTAATAACTTTAACACACATGAAAAATAAGAAAGCAATATCATACAAGTATAGGTGTAAAACCTCTTACCGCAATGTGTTTGAGATTAGACGCTGAAGTCTTGTAAGCTGACATCACCGTAGAGGTCAAACAAAGTTTGCACTGCATCTGGACGATGTCTTCTTTTCTCCCTCTGTACATCAAAAATTCCTCCAGGTATGGCCACGAGCACTTGTCCTCCGTCTTTTCTTCATCATATTCACTGCTGACAGTGTTGTCTTCTGTCTCCATTTCAGCTTCTTTGTCTCTAAATCTTCAGTCCATAAACTACTCTCCGCTCCTGCAGCGGAGTTGTTTTACCTTACGTCATAGATTAATTGGCGCGGTCGCGATCGGACGGCCTTATTGGCTACAAAGACGCAGATGAAAGGTTTGAATATTAATTCAAATTGTGGGCGTACTCAGTCGCGGCTTTTGATTTTAAAAGTAGCGAAGTAGATTACATGGTGTAAATTGTACTCAAGTATGAGTAAAATTACACACTTGAAAAAAATACTCATAAAAGTACCCAAAAAATCTACTTAATTACAGTAACGTGAGGATTTGTAATTCGTTACTTCCACCCCTGCTAACCACTGTCCCACAATGCAGCCCTCCTAAAATTCACAACCTGCCACATATTTTGTGAGGATGACTTCATGAAGGAATGCACAACAAACATGGATGAACTGGAAACGATAACATCAAGTATCCATCACCTGATGGTTTCAATGACCAACATCTTTCCCAAACTTTGCAGTGAGCCTTGAGGAAAGTTCAAATGTGGCTCACAGAAAGGCGCCAGTATGCATCAATGGAAATCCAAAGTGTCTCACCTTTACGGTCATTTCAACCACAAAGATCGCCGTGAAGATGTAGTTGGACAACGTCAGGAAGATCCGCTCCTGCCGAAACAAAAAAAAAAGAGACCCGGTTGAGCCGAGGTAGCGCTAAGGATTTAATATTCGCATTGTTGTTATAAGCATGTTTTTGTTGAGTTTGTTGTTTGCCTCTTAATTGATCTGGAGTACAGCTGAATAATGTATGAGGGAGCTATTTTCCTCATGCACTATCTGAAAACATCTCAGTACAAACAACCCTCCTGCACTCTCTAATGATGGCTGGCAGGGAATTATAAGGTTTACTTTTTATTAGCACTCCATGAAATATTTAAACAAAGGGATCAGATTTGGTATTTAGGCTTAAAATGTGTTTTTCTTTATACTGGTTTAAAAAAAAAAAAAAAAAAGTACCCCAGTAAAGTTAGGATAAGGGATAACACTTTATTGATCCCTGTGGGGGAAACTTAGGTGTTACAAAAGAAAGCATAAAAAAGAATAAAATAAATAATCTGATACAAAAAAAAAAGTTTAAAGAATTCCAAGGATCAGCTGAACTGCACCTGGAAAAACTAGCATTATATCCCCATTGGAACACATTGGAAAACGCTTCACTAGTGCTGAGAAACAACTCAGGGATGAAATTGGTGTTTCTCCAACAAAACCAGCATGTTGCATCAGATCCTTTATTTTTTTTCTTCAGAGACAGTGATTTTAGAAAACAAGCAGCGTCATTTTTGTTGTGTGAGCGTGCACACACAATACAACACCATCAAATCCGGGCGGTTAGACCTCCATCTGTACAGTCACATCGCTGCACTCCCATGCTTCCCTGTTGCCCGAGGCGGCGCGGCTCAGTGTTGTGTATGCATGCAGGAGGAGATGGGAGCCTATTTACTGAGCTAAACAAGGACTGAGGAGAGAAAACAAGCAGGCTAACAAGAATAAGATCCCTTCGCCGACTGCTTATTTACCCTACTTCCCCTCTGTCTGAGGAGACGCGACCCTGTTCTGTCGCTGACTGTCTGTGTGTGTGCGAGTGTGTGTGGGTGTAGGTGGCTGACTTTCCCACGGCCTCCGACTACCATCACACATGCTCTGAGGAGCACAAAATCACACACACACACGCATAAACAGAGATGGCAGTCCTGCAGCGATTTTTTTTTGTGTGAAGTCTCTGGGAATGTCAGGCATGACATCACTGGGAATGCTGTGCTGAGAGGGTTTATGCATTCCAGTCTTGAGAGCAGCCATTCCTGTCTCTGTGTGTGAGCGAGGGTTCATGCTTTCATTCATTCTAAACTAACACTGTGGTAGACGTTAAATTAAGGCTGCACGCATGAAACTGAAATCTACAAAGTGAACAGTTTGCCGTACTTTTGCTGAACTGGTAAACATTTTATGTACTTTCTAAAAGCAAACAAGGACAAACCTCAAGTTTCCTTGACAAATGTATGACATACATACAGTCGTCCTCAAATGTATTCATAACCTTCCATTAAAGAAAAGGCAAAATTCACAATAGTCACTCAAATAACTAGAAATTGAAAAAGGTGCTAATAAATAAAAATTTGCTAAATTATAATTGAGTGAAATAAGACATTGCTTTTGAATTGTGGTTGAAAAGAATTTAAAAAAACAAAAAAAAACAAAACAAAACTGTCCCAGACAAATTAGAGCACTTTGCTGATGAGCACTGGCCAAAATCCAAATACAGGTGCAGAAGTCTGATTGAGAGTTACAGAAAACACTTTCAGTGATTGTCTCAAAGGGTTGTTCAACAGAATATTAGTTTACAAGTCCCATCATGCTTGTTTGCTTGTTCTTGTTGTTATTTTTAATATTGCTGTTAAACCACAATTCATAAGCAATGTCATAATTGTCATTAAATTTATTATTACTTTTGTCAATTTCAACTTATTTCAGTGACTGCTGTTTTGTTCCTTCTTTAATGGGAGGGTATGAATACATTTGAGGAAGATATTGAGGCTATATTTAGTACAGCTTAACAAAAAAGAATGAAAAGTAAAGCCTAGCTTACATAAACAAGGTTACAGACAGAGAACCTGATCATACAAGAACATGAATATAAATTAGCTTGCTAGGTATCACGCTGCCAAAATTTGCCATTTTATCCATCCTACAACCGTATGACTATTGTTTACTTATATATTGGCTACATTGAATGAATTAAATAATAAAGAGAAAATAACGTAAAATTGAATTATTTTTTTAACTGAGCAGTTTATCTTGAAGTGGTCATTTTAGCCAGCTAGCTTAAACTTAACATGTTGTACTTTGAAAAAATTGGTAATGCAAAAATATTTTAGCTCACCAGTTATAATACTACATACTAAAAGTTTGCAAAATGTAATGTTTTGAACTAATATTAACCACATTATGAATAAAAAAAATCACTGCAAAATAAACCATTTTAAAGAAACAGGATATTTCGTTGACATGTTAAGCTTGGGAGACTGAATATAAGCTGTTAACTTTAACTCTTGTTGGATAAATGCAGATTTCGAGGTAAAATACTGCAATTAGCTGTAGTAATTTAACTAAGCAAACATCACATTTAGTCTATGTTGTTTTACATGCACAATATTTGTTTGGCAAGGTGAAATGAAAATATGCTAAAGCTAGATAGATACAGATTGCTAGTTATCATATTTTATGTGAAAATTAGAAAAAGTTTCTACTCATGGTTACTTAACCCAACTGAATGTTTACATCTCTGTCAAATTATATGAACTGATTAAAGTTTCATAAACTTTTTCAGAGAAATTGATAAGCTCTTAGAGCTGTTCGCTTTGGGTTTAGAGGCTTACATTAAACAAATATAGCAATATCTATCAGTGATACTGCATGTGATAGCCATTTTAGCTAGCCTGAGTAAAACAGGTACAACTTTCACCTGATGGGGGGACATATGTATATATATATATATATATATATTTATGCTTAGACAAAAAATGAAATCAATTGTAAACTAAATAAGAAATTTAAAAATAGTTTGTAATGTTAAAGACGCTGAGAATTAGGTCATGTGAGCTGGTTACTTTCATTCTAGCAGCTGCTAGGTAGCTAGCAAAATCGAAGCACAATATAATCTTCTCTTTCATGGAAATAAAATGAAAACAAAACAACAGAAACAGATGCATAAAGTGGGCTAAATAAACAATGTTAATTGAAGCAAGAATTTGTCAAAGTGGCTTTTTCTCCAGTCAACACGGTAATGACTTTTCACCGGGCAATGCGAGGCTAATTTCTCTTCTTGTGTGCAGCAGGAGCTTTCCTTTACGGCTCGTGTATATTTTTGGCTGAAAGCTGAAATAAACAGGTTGCAAGAGACAGCAACAAACCACGGCTCCCTCAAAAGGAGTAAAACACCACCCGTTCCTCATCTGTAGCGGTGCTGCTGTTGTTATTCCCAGTTCAATGCTTGGCATCTAGTTTGCTTGACCACAACTCAGGGAACCACAAGCCATCAGCCTGGAGACTTTTGTTTCCAGCTCGGCCTGGTTTGAAGTAACGCTGAGCATAATCTCAGAGGCCAGCTATGACTTAAACCAAGAGGCACTTTGCATCGTTACACGCCAGTGAAAACAATACCCCATCGCTAAACACTTCCAGTAGGTGATTCGCACTGGCAGGTCTGGATGACTTTCTTGACTTTTAAGGAACTCAAACTCCTCAGTTGCCAGTTATTTACACCATTGCACTGCTGTGGATAGAAATCTTACTTTACACAGCATTCAGTTATTCACATATAAACATTTCCTTTATTTCTGGGCAACAGAAAACCCACATTTCTTGGAAAGTTTTCCTCACAGTCCTGTGCAGCGTCATCTCTGTATCCTAATGAGCGGATGACGCGGATGCAGAAAACTTAGAATGATCGTATTGTATACAGTCGGTGCTGATATAATAAAATATAAAGCTTCAGACAGTGATGTAGTGTCCCTCAGCTCAATTACAAATAATAAATCATAATAGGTGGTATAATCATCCTCCATCATTTCCACTGCGCTACATGACGACAGTATCCAGGCAACCTCCAGCACCAAAACCAAAACAGCAATGGACTGCCAGCCAAATACAAAGCATGTGACATAACTTCCTCGACAATAAACTAATTATTCAGCCGGCATTCCAGACTAAAATGTTTTGACTAAAACTCTTCATCTCTGTGACAATGACTACATCTCTATTTAAAGAATGCAACATGCCTTTTGTCAAGTTGGCGGGGAGGGTGATGTAAAGCAGGTGCTTCAAAAGAGTAGCAGCGCCGTGATAAATTATACATGTTCGGTTGTTACACACAACAGAATCAGCCAGTGGAAATCGATTCACAATCGTCTTCATTAATTCAAAACAACCCACACAGACAAACAAATAGCATCATGCAATGACCACCCGGGCAAATGAGATCTGGAGCAATAAGCATCGCTGCTGAAAACTATAATGACTGTTCATTCTCTGGTTTCGGGCTGCTCGCTGCGTCATACATTTCCATCTCATTTCAATAATGGCCTCTGGGTGCAGACTGGACACGGCGGCCGCGGCGGGAAGCTGATAAAATATATGTGCATGTGAAAATACTGCTCTCTGATGTGAATGTTAGCGTGGCTGCTGTGCTGGATTTTTGTGTATTCAGGTTCAGTGTGTGCGCAGAGGTGACAGAGGAGAAATCAATCCCTCTATGTATATGTGCGATCCCTCCGCCCTGATGAGATCTGGTGGCCTGCGGGGCGGCCTCCATTTGTTAAACATCTCCTTTCCTGGACATTAGCCACGTACGCCAGCCCACAGATAATTCAATCAATTACAACGGCGCTGTCTCCTCCGTGTTTCAGACGCAAAACAGGCAGAACGGAGTGTTCCGGCGAGACCCAAACGCCATTAGGGCCCGTCCGTGGAACACCTTAAAAAAAAAAGCCTCAAAACAGTGTTAATTATTGTGTTTATGCACGGCTGAGCTGTGTTCTGCTTCTATTGCTGGAAGTAGGAAAGGACCGAGAGACTGGTATGTGTGTATTTGTGGTGGCGTAAGGCATCCAGCCAGTCCTCCTTTATTCGAAGGGATGGCGCATTAGCTGGGATTTGATAGTGTTGATGATGCAGCGCAGCAGAGCACACTTTACCCAAAGCTACTGGCTGACAGTCAAACAGGAGTGGTTCCCTGCTTACATGATGCTCCACTCTGCAGAGAGTAAACTACAGGAGCAACTCTGTTTTGTGCAGGTGTGTACGTGCTGTTGCTTGAGCAGTCATCAAGGTTGGACTCGCTGACAGGTTCTTTCTTCCTTTTACTACCATTTCTGTTTGGACTTTTGTTGAGCTGGCACTGAGTATTTTATATATATATATATAATTGATTCTCCACACACATCTCAGGTATCCTTGCGTCTATAAATACACCCGTCTTACTCTGTATCTTTCTATGCTTGTCACTGAAGATTGTGAAGCCCGACACACTCAAATTGTAGATTTTCATCGACTTTTCAGAGGCTCTTATAGAATCAATGGTACTCTTAAACAAGTTGTGACACTCACAGCGCTGCCGGAGTCGATGTGAGGCCTCTCCATGGCGATAGTGATGCAGTTGAGGAAGATGATGACCAGCACGATGTGGTCAAACATCTTGTGGGTGATGATCTGATTGCACAGGATCCGAAACCTGTCAAATACATGGAAACACAGAGAATTTACATGTCAGTGATGCTGGAAATTGACTCCACATGTAGTATGCAAGTAAAACAAGCCAATTTAGTGTATAAAAGGAACAACCTGTTGAGCAGCTACATACTGTATGTAGAGAGAGGAAGTAGATACACCACAAGTGATAATTTACTGTTTAAAGCCGAGTGTATTTTATGTCTGGAGGATGCAGGATAAAAGTAGCAATGCTGCAACAAATGAATTATCCATTACAGGTGCACCCTGTGTTGAAATTATCACTTGAAGAGCCCATATTCTGAACATT